TGTGTGTGTGTGTGTGTGTGTGTGTGTGTGTGTGTGTGTGGTGTGTGTGTGTGGTGTGTATGTGTGTGTGTGTGGTGTATGACAGAATTAGTCTGATGGCATGGCATATGCAATTGTTATAATTCTTAGACTCATACAGGAGTGTTCTTTTGGGAACCCCTAAAATTCATTCTACCTCACTTTCTCATTTTGCGCCTCCTATTTACTCTGTCAAAAATAGTGGGCTCACATTCTTTTTGGACAAAAAACGTGGAGGATAGCCTCAATGCTAATGATTGCTTGCTCATGATTTTTCAGGTGTTTGAGTTCCCTGGTGGTGCAATCCAGTGGGCAAGGTACAGGAACAACATCAAAGACTATCTCAGTGATGAAGAGGAGGCATTTGGCACCAGCTTGAACAGCCTGAGATCACAGATGACTCTGGGGACACTGAGAATAAAAAGCAAGGGCCTCCGGGCTCCTCATTGGCACTTCAATGCCAACGAACATGGCTATCTTGTGCAGGTAGACACAGTTTGCCCTCTTTCTGCTCTTAAGCTCCTGCGCTATATGTCTTCTGAATGTTCTAGTTGTCACAAAGACTCCAAAATGAGCTGTAGACAGGTATCCAGGCTTTCAGTTAGATTAGCTATCTTAGAGAATTTGCCATCACTTTGAACTAATTATTGTTCCAACCAAATCACTGTTGACTTTTTCTATAAATTTTGAGACCCCTCTAAGATTTTTCTTTAATATTTTAAGTGAGCAATTTTATATGACTATTATTCAAATATGTATTCTTACTTAGTACTATTTACACATTTATGACTTTTTTAATTCAGCAAGGGATGAAAGTATTGAATGACTAGCTGAATGTGCAACACACCTATTTCTCAAAATAAATGTTAGCTGTATACATAGGGCTTGATGACACATTTTAATTTCTATTTTATATTATACTGTAATATAAACAGCAAATTTTGCTAAAGTTATCAAATCAAATCACTGTTTAGTCCTTTTGGCCAAACCTAAAACAGTAACTCTGATCTAAAGATCAAAGTAGCTTCTCTTAGGAAAACGCCCCAGTTGGAGTAATGAACTGATATGCTGATGCTCTGCATAGACTCCAAGATCAGGCCATTGAATGAGCTTTGGTTGTTTGGACCCTCCAGAGGATTCTCAATTCACGTGAAATAAATGAATTGAAGTGAAATGGGTATAGTTACTTGAGTATTAGATTATTCAGTTCCAAAAGTGGCTTATCGGTCACCTCTTGTATTCCCAACCTGAGAATGCAATAGTGACTAAGTTCTTCCAGAACTTTCATAGTTTTGTCTGATCCTATAATCTAGTTAGTAGATGGATAGCCAGTTGTATATTTTCTGTTGTTCAGACTCCCCTTGGTCCAAGCCTTTAGTCCCACCACTAGGGAGGCAGAGGCAGGTGGATCTCTGAGTTTCAGGCCAGCCTGGTCTACAGAGCTAGTTCCAGATCAGCCAGGGCCACACAGAGAAACTTGTCTCAAAAAGAAAAAAACAAAAGGGCTTCACTTTGTCAATTACTTTGTCTTTACTAGAGGGAGGATATCTTTGTTAGCATTACTATTGCTTTGATAAGACACTGTAATCTAAAGCAAGTTGGGGAGGAAAATTTATTTGGCTTACACTTCCACATTGTAGTCCATCATTGAAGGGAGCCAGGACAGGGACTCAAACAAGGCAGGAACCTGGAGGCAGGAGTTGATACAGAGATAATTGAATTCAATCAAATAAAGTACTTTGATAGGTACCTGACATAAAAAAGATATTAAGTGTATGCTTTTATATTTTCTCCATTATTAAAATTATATACAGACTTTTTCTTATTTGCAATACAAATGTATCTGTGCGTACTCCCCCCCCAGTGCATATATAAACATATGTGCTTGTGCAATCACCTGTGACCACTACAAATCCTTCATGTATGGCTTCAGTCTTTTAAAACATGTTCTAAACATGTTTAAACAGTTCTAAAATATAAATTCTTAGTGGGAGCCATATTTCCTCCAAGGAGGAAAAATGGATTCTTAGTGGGGGCAAAAAATGCTACACACACACATACATACATACACACACACACACACACACACACACACACACACACACACACACACAAATTTTATAAGGCAATGGAAGGGAAAGGGTTTGAAAACTATGTTTATAAAATGGGTGATAAAAGAATAAAAGAAGATTAAGAAACATTGATCTAAATGAAACTAAGGTTTTTATGTCTTAGGGGACGGCATGGATCGGGGTGGTTGATGATGGTGGTGAGGTCGCTACCACATACAATGTTACAGCTGGCCAAGTGATCTTCTTTCCTAAAAATACACTACACTGGATAAAGAATGTGGGCCATGAAGACTGCTTCTTCTTGCTCTTCTTTTCCACACATGATGAGCTACAGACTCTAGATGTGGATGATGTGTTTTTTTCTACACCAGAAGACATTGCTTCCAGGTCTCTTAAGGTATGTAATATTTGTAAAATCACAAAGATATGTACTACACAGCCATGGAGTATGAATGTCAGTGTTTCTAAAATCTAGCAATCACCATAGATCCACAAGTTCACAAACAGTGGTATTAGTGATTGAATAACACACTCAAAAGTGTATCTTGTATTCCTTCTAATGGCCAAAGTTGAAATTGCATTTCTTATTTTCCTTTATGAAAGTCTTTCACATGAAATTGTAATGTATTGATAGAAAGATTATGATATAATTAATGGAAAATTGCTGTCACTTATAGTCCTGAAGAGTCAAAACACCACTCATCTTTCAGTGGGGAGAAGTTTGCTACATATGATAGAATTATATCTTCCTTCCTCCCTCCCTCCCTCCCTCCCTCCCTCCCTTCTTTCTTTCTTTCTGTCTGTCTGTCTGTCTGTCTGTCTGTCTGTCTGTCTGTCTTTCTAGACAGGGTTTCTCTGTGTAGCCTAGGCTGTCCTGGCCCTCACAAAATAGACCAGGTTGGCCTTGAACTCACAAATTTCGTCTGCTTCTTCCTCCCAAGTGCTAGGATTAAAGGCGTGCACCACTACTGCCCATCTGGAATTGTATTTTCTTAATTTTCAGCAAAGAATCCTATGTTTCCTGAATAATTGACACTTTAAAACAGATCTTTAAAATTTTTAATTGCTAATGAGGTACCAAGGTGTTTCAATGCAGGTGTACAGGACATGATGTTAACCAGGCTAAACATATCCCTCTCCTTACACATGTATCCTTTCCAGTGAAAACTCTTTTCTTCTAACCTCTGAAAGCACACACTATATGATTATTCCCTACTGTCACCTTGCTGAACAATAGCGTAACATAACTTTTGACTCCTGTAAATTAGTATTATACCCACTACTTATGACCTCACCAGACATTTATTTACATTACCATAGGGGAATAACTGACATTTGCGGTTACAGAAGGTCAGGCATAGATGCTCGCAGTGCTAATGGGGGAGAACTAGTGATGGTATGTAGCTAGCGGCTGGAGAAGGTTCAGTAGCGAGCATAGGAATCTGCATAGTAAACTTGTGGGATTGCCTTTCAACGGAGTCCAGTATTCTAGTGCTCTCCAGAGAGGTAGAAGAGATAGCTTCACAGGGAGAATGTTGGTAAGCATGGGAACAACGTATGCTTTTGCAGGAATTTATACTGACCATTCCAAACCAACCACTAAAACCAAAATATATTGAAAACTTTCGTAACTGTCAGAAATTGTTCTGCCCGGATCAAAGGTCAAGGACAACCATCTGTGGTGACTCTACTGCGTCCTTTGCCACTTACTTTTCTGTTGCTAAAATGTGTTGCGCGTTCCATAGCCGTACATGTGATTTGTGATTGTGTTTCAGCCTGAAGGTGGAATTAATTTCATTAGAAAATTCCAGAAGCAAACAGAGGATCAGGGGGTCAATCTTCCTCCCAACTTGGCAGAGCTAGTTATGAATGCTAGTTATGTACAGTCTCCTGACAACATCGTGTGGAGATATTTTTTTGACCTTAAAGGTACGGTACGTTTCATGAAGGTTTTAAATTAAGTTTTGTATATATAGTTGTATATTTTTGACTTGGAATGTCTTTTTTTGTGGTGGGCTATTGAGAAATTAGAAAGCAAAACAAAATGCTGTAGTTTTCAGTAGATGAGGTAATGTAGGGAAAGTCCTACAGTTGGAAGTGAATGTGACAAATGGTCTCAACGTGGCATGGGTATAGTTTAGATCCGGGAAATGCTGCAGGGTCAGAGACTGATGGCAGAGGACATTCCCAGCCGTGTGGGCTTTAGACACCACACTAAGGAGTTTGTATGGTATCTTAACTGAGAAGTAGAGTGACTGAGGATTTTAAATACGTGTGAAGCAGTGAATTTTGCTGTTAGAAATGAAGGTGCATTTGACTGTCTTGTTAAATGAGTGGAATGGGCCAGCTGGGAGGAAAGAGATGAGGGGAGGGGTTGTCACAGTCCTTCAAACAGGGGGGATAGAGACCTGCACCGTGGCTGCTGTGAGAAGGAGTAAAGAGTTTAAAGAGGTAGGATAGAAAGGACTTGAGAGTAGACAGACTTCAAGGGTAATGATGTACAGAGATTTGTTTGGGGTAACTCCCAAGTTTTCTAGCTAGGTCCCCCAAATTGAATGAAGAATACTAGGATTCTCTGTGTTAGAAATTTCAAGACAGTTTGGGAGGTAGAATAAAATATAACTATGCCTAGTGGGGGCTCACAGGACCTGGGGTCAGCAGTTCACACCTGTAAGTTATCTGTGAGTAGAAGAGCTTTGTGTTTTACTGGGCATCTATTGAGGCACAATTTTGAGGTATTTGTTATTCTGTTTTAAACTTCATCTGATTCAGGTTCAAAAGAATACAAGTTTCCTGGGGGAGTCATCCAGCGAGCACAGTATTGGAAGGATGGAAATGAACTAAGCGACAATGAACAAATTTTCAATGAATTTCTACATCAGGTAACTGAGGAAAAAGGTTTTTTTTTCGTTATCATTAAACAACATTTAAAAATCTATCACTTATGATAATTTATTTCCTTTTTCTTTTTTATGTTTTGAAATTAAAATACAATTATATTGTTTTCTCCTTTCCCTTTCCTCCTTCCAACCCTTCCCATGCATACCCACCTTGCTTTCTCCCAAATTCATGGCCTCCATTTAAAAATTATTGTTATACAAACATTTTATATATGTGTACATATATAATCCTAAATATATAAATAAAAACTATATCAGAATTGATCACTTGCTATTAGTTAACCAGTTTGGGAGCTGTTCCCTGAGGAGGACTATTTCTCCATCTCTCAGTATTCCTTAGCTGCCTATAATTCTTGGCTAAGTGTTGAGGCCCCGAGACCTCCCCCTTCCTTGTTATCACGTGTTCAGGTTTTGTTCAGGCAGCCATGTTGGTGAGACTTCATGGTGTGACTTCCTTGACATTATTAGAAGAGGTACTGTCACAGCAAATGTCCCTTTCCTTTGGTTCTTACACTCTTTATAGAGGGAAAATCCTTTGATAATATCCAGGTGGATGAAATATAAGATTTGGAGCTGGTTCATGTTTCTTCTTACTGGAAGAAGAAGGGAAGCCGGAGTTAAGCCAGCATGGGCTGATCTCTTTCATGTGAGCCAGTAACTGGGGCTTCCAAGGCCTTGGAACTTCCTTGACACAAGCAGTTGCATCAGTGAAGAGCATAGAGTGTTGGGAGGGTTCCGCTTTTGTTTTTAAGAAAAGCTGGTTTTGTAGCATAGTACCTTGTGTTCACAGTCTAGCTCTGTCTTTGCTGTGCGACCCTAGGCAACTGACTTAGATTTTTCACTCATCACCTGTGAAGTAGGGAGACTGATGCAACTTTGTAAGATTGTTGTAAGCAGTAAGTGATGTAATACCTATAAGGAAAATGGAAGACATTTGCAGAGATGCATAAATATTTGGTATTTTATGGTTTTATCAATTGTTGAGTCACTGAGCAGTATGTTGGTTAAATAACTGTCTTTTCTCCTTTTCTTTTGAAAGCACCAAAATGTCCTCGCATTGAGTACACTCAGGATTTATAATAATGGATTAAGACAGCCACATTTTCATTTCAATGCAAATGAAATGGGATATGTAGTGAGTGGATGTGGAAAGGTAATTCCTCAATAAACATTTCTTTAAAAATTCCCTTGATTCAGAAAGGAGCAAATAGGAGATATTTTTCATGTTGATAGAATCATGAGGAACAGAAGGAATCTATCCCTAACTTTCTACAGAGGCTAGCACACAGACCTCATTAGATGCTTGGCATATTTGACAACACAGAAAGATTCAAGAGGTTCTGTATTTCTGAAGTGGGCAAGAGTATTTTTGAAGTGACAAAGATTTATGTCTTATGATAGAGGTCTGAAGAACAAGCTGAGGTTTTCAGTTTTGCACCATCACCTCATGCAAACTGCTCTGCCATGGGGAAGTAGAAATAACCTTTGTCTTTCAACATAAGGTGAATGAAGGAACCCAGGAAGGCTTGGGGCATCAGCATGATGGCCATATGCCCCAGCTTATCTGAGATACTCCTCAGTATACTTGTCTGGCTGAAATTATTGACAAGCCCTTTTACTCCTCAGAGAGTACTTGGCTTGGTTGGTCACTTATGTGGTCAAGCTGCTATACGCCAGGCTATGCAGTATGTTACTACAGTGATCCGACGTTAGTTACTGTAGAGGGTCATGAATTCCAGATAGGCAAGGCTTTGTTTGGAAAGGAGTCTATAGAGGGTGAAAGGGCATGAGGGGATGGGGAGGATAACAAGGGAAAAGAGAGAGGGGCAAGTGAGTCAACAAAAATAAATTATATTTGAAAATGCCATAATAACTTTCTAAACTAATTTTACTAAAATGCTTTGATGGTCTGTATGTCTCTCAATCTCGGAGGAAAGAACAAAAACCATATGAAATTCACTTATACCGAAAGTCTTGTATGTTTTTAAGAATGAAAGTTTTAGTAAATTGAGAAAGGGCATTGCAGTCCTCAATGAATTGCATTTCAATTATCTGACTATTTCTTGTGTGCTAGAGTGCTTTTGTGTATGCATTTAGTCTCTGACTCTAAAAAAGGAAGACTCTTTAGATGGTATGATGAAAGATGGCATAAATAAAGGCATGTAGGTAGAAAATACTGAAAGTAAATCGTCTCTGATATATATGGGGCATCATTTGGGACCTTAGCTAGAACATTACTGCTGATGCCTTTTATGCATGATGTTATGGATATTTATGTAAGTGTTGTATTTTTTGGCTTCTGTGAGGCTCTGTCATATTCTTAATAAGAAGCCTCTAGATAACCACAAGCTATGTTATATGTCTGTTCTTCACATTTGATACTTATCTGAATGAGTGTGTGACTTTCAATTCTAAAGCATCACTTCCCCTCAGGTGGGCATCATTAATACTCAAAGAACCATAGAATTTAATATCCACATTGGAGATGTGGTATTTTTTCCTATTGGAACCCAGCATTACATCAAGAACACATGTGATGAGGATTTGCTCTTTGTCCTTGCCTTCAGCACTGGAGATCAGGTAAGACTTAAGAGTCATCAGTAATCGCTAAGCCAGTGTTTGGACAAAGTATGCCTTAGTAAATATGTGTTCACTGAAGGGGTGAATGAGTAAGCTAGATGAAAAGAAGTGTATGAAGAGAAGGAGAATCAAAACATTTTCCATTACATTGCTTCTTAAGTCTCTGAACTTTGAACCACAGGATCAATATGTAGAGATCCATAAAATCATTTCAATCACAGTACAGCAGACATTAGAAGATATGACCAATATTTGTTGACAAATACGTTCCCTAATACTGATTCCCAGGAATGGATAGGCATCCTCATGTTGGAGCAGAGCTTATCATCTTGTTGGGAAAAGCCAGTGTGGCCATGGAGTACCAGGAGCATTTACCTGGCTATAAGGCTTGTCTCATCATATGGCTGTAGGTGTGGAACCATGGGAAGTCTTCTCACTAGTTCTTGCTCACAGGAAAATAGATGCATTTCTTAGTATAGGACTGATTCCTTCTAAGGAAGGCTTGAAGTATCTTAGCACATTTTTCCATCAGACTTTCCTTCTCAGAACTGAAGAGGTGATTTCCCCATGGCCAGGGGAGACTGGCACTCAAAGTCACCTGTATAAGTTAGATAGATAACCACCAGACCATATTGCCAATGACTTGGCAGCTCCTAGGCTTGTGCAGTATGTTGAACAGTGTGGCGCTGATGCTGCTTTTGTTTTATATCATCAGGTACAAACTCTTGACATGGACGATTACTTCCAGGCTACCTCAGACCATATTTTGGCCCAGCTTTTCTTCAGGAAGCAAAGCGAGTTTAAGAAGATTCCCAAATTCACAGAGGACCAGGCCATCAACCTGCCTTAAATTACTAATGAGTTCATATCTACTGTTCTTTGTCAGGTGTTGATAGAGAAAGGCCACTGGCTAAGAAACTGGGACTTGTTACAAAATGAAGTGAGACAACAAGGCAAAGCAACCCTGGGGTTGTCCATGTGGGCATCTGAGCATGGAAAGTCTTGCTGATCAAACATTTCACATTTGGGTGTCTGGGGTATCTGATAATCTGACATTATTAATGCATTTTAGTATATATGTACATACACACATACACACATATATACTTATATAGGTCTTATTACTTCAAATGTATTGTGTAAGCATTTGTTACATATAAACATATGAACAACATTTAACTATGCAAGTATTATTCATTATTCATTACTGTGGGAGTTAGAAAAGAGACTGGTTTATATATGTTCATTGAGAGGCACTGTAATCCATGTGCACTAGACCATGTCTTAGGAGTTTAGTACAATGCTTTAAGTTGGAGATTCTCAATCCTTTTTGGCATGAGATATTTTTTAGTATCAACATTTTAAAGAATTCAGTCATACTAGTAATTGTGTACTTATTTTCTATTACCATAGAAGATATTTAATGAGAAAATGAATATGAACTAAGTGCTGTCTTTGAATGTATTTGGATTTTGTGGGTAACCTCACCGTCTGTCTACATTTGAGAAAGTTCTTCCCATGTTTGAAAAGCATCTGATAGTCTGTTGCTAGTATTGGCTGTGTCTGAAGATTCACGGGAACCTTATCATTTTTCTGAAGCTGGTTGGGGCCAGTGCACTCTTAAGTTATTTGTGTAAAAAGAGTGAGTTTATATTTGGTCTGTACTTTAATTTTGATTGCAAATTATTTGAATAGGCATCTGGTGTACTGACAGTGTGCTAATCGCCATCATCAGTTCTGAGCTACCCGAAATAAAATTCTTAAGGTGATATAGCTGGCTTTAATATCCTCTTTCAGTCATTGCCCTAATACCTAATCTGATTTCTTTTAAAGGATCAGACTGTTCATTTTTCGAGGCTACAAAAGAATCTGTCCTTTCTCTTCCTCCCCGCACTCTGTCCCTCTCTTCATAAGATTATTTAGCTCTATTGATTTCTAGTAGAGGAATATAGTGAGAACTTTTTATCAGAGTAGGCGGCCACCTACAAAAGGGGCTTTAGGAATATGATGACAGCTTGCCTCTGCTCTCAGTTATTTGTTGGTTCATTCATCCAGATAAGCTAAGCACTGTGTTAGATGTTAGTGAGACATAGCAGTACTGAGGTGGATGTAAAAGCAGACAGTACAAGACATGGCAACACTGATATGGCAGCTATTCACTGTGGTAAGTGATAAATGTGTGCACACAAATTATGTATGGATACATACATTAATGTATAAGCAAAATACCAAACCCAGCTCTGGGAGCCATACAGAGGGTGTTACGATTTCTGGAGTAGATCTGAGTGAAGATGCACAGTTAAGCCACAACATTAAGAGGAAGATGTAACCTATGAGCAGGAAAGCTCTTCTAGATGGAAGATTGGAGGAGTCAGTAGTACCAAACATGGAAGTATAAGAAAACAGTTCACTATGGGTGGAGGAAAGGGCCAATACCAAGGGATGAGGCAAGAGCAGGGAGGGTAGTGAAGATGCCAGCATCCTTTAGAGCCATGTTACTATGCTTTTCCTTATTGTCTTTCCCTAGTAGAGCTACCTGAGACCACAGTTTGGCAGCAAGCAGAGGCCTAATGGTGTTTGGGAGGGGAAGTAATGTTGAATGGACTTAGGGAACAGCACAGAGGAAATGGCACATGGAAGAGGAGATCCAAATAGATGTATTGTTTTAGTCATCAGTAATGACTAAATTACCCTGTGAGGTTGTTTCTCTCCCATAAAAATCTCAACTGTTAGCAGTGGCACTCACCTATGAACTCTGAGGGTCATAAAGGTAGAAAACAATGTCTGTACATAGCTTTTATCTGTAAATTTTGCCTTTGAATTTTAAAAAATTGTATGCTGTAAGCTTGTTTATAATCCCTTTTTATGTACTAGGAAGGATTGTATCAGATAACTATGTGGTCATTAAATAATATTTTGTCTATCTTCTTTATATGATTTTTTCTTTTAATTTTGAATATAATTTGTTCTTATTGTTTTATGGCCTTCACAAACATACAGGAGTACACATTCACACATGCACAAACACACAGACAGATAGACAGACAGACAGACAGACACACACACACACACACACACACACACACACACACACTGAAGTTTTAGCCTTTTGGGGGAGTAGATGTTATTTCTCATTAGACTGATGTCTTGATTAACCAGTGAGTTACTCAGACTGATTAATGACACCATACAGCAAAATCCAAGACTTCTACTGAAAACCTGCCTTAAAACTGAACTCCTCCTAGCCATTTTATGAAAAATATTTTTAAGATCTGGCCATATGTTACTTCTTTGAAGTGATATAAGTTGTTGTAGTACTTGAAATCCCTTAAATGCCAAAAAAATTTTAAAGAATTTTCTTTGCAGCAGCCTTGAATGGCTGAGTAGAATGCACTTAGTTTCCGTAGCTCTTCGGGGTGGGAAGGAGCACCAACACTGCCCCGTGTTGCTTCTAATAGAAGGTAGTCACAAAATGTTGTGTGTCCATGCTTTTATCTTTTCCTATCCTGGAGTAATCAGGTTGCTTTTAATAACCAAACTAACCCAAGACAGGGAAATAGGTACCATTACCTTATGACTTGGTTCTGAACAGCTGTACTATGCCAATGATAAAAAAAAATGAGTCATTAGTGTAGGATTTTTGCTTTAAAAGAAAATAAAATAACACAACAACAAGAAAAATGCACCCCCTTCTTTTTCTTTTTGAGACAGGGTCTTTCTATGCAGTCCAGGGTTACCTGGGACTTTAAATCCTGCCTTAGCCTCCTGAGTGCTAGGATTATATGAGTGAGCTAGTATGCCCCCTTTGAAAGTTAGCTACTAAAAGTTCAAAGTGATGTCTTCTCCAAGCTTTCTGTTAACTGTCACTTTTAGGAAGCTGGCCCTGATCCTCTGGGGGAAAATAGGGCAAACCTGAAGAATCCAAAAGAGAACATAGATAGTTAAAGAAATTGTGTGCGCGCGCATGTGTGTGTGTGTGTGTGTGTGTGTGTGTGTGTGTGTGTGCGTGCGCGCTCGTGCACGCACGCACACACATTTTTTTCTTCCTTGTACTTAAATTGGAACAATTCAGAGAAAAGCATTCCTTAGAATCATGGAACTACAGAGCTGGTAGAACCACAAATCATACAGTCCCAGCGCTTTAATTTATAGAAATGGAAACTGATAACCTAACCTCACTGGGTTATTTGAGACCAAAGGGTGTTTGGGGCTTCGATCTTCAAGGGTATGGGATAGTCTTTCACATAAAGTGGAACTCTGTACTAGGAAATGTACCATCTCAGGTGGGGAAAGGGCTTCTGTCACCTGAAAAATCAACCAGCCAACAACAGTACCACCTCCTTTCTGGGCCGCCAACATTCTGAGATGCTAGAGCAGCTAACTGTTAAATAAAGATAATCATAGCCTCTTTGGACTACAATTCACTGTTCCAGTCTAGTCAAACCCTCAAGGCTTATTTTAGTTTAAAAGTTATCATTGGCTTTTAAAAATGTAATAAAATACAACAAAAATTTGCCATTTTAGCCATACAATTTAGCGGCACTGAAAACGTTCACAATTTGGTGCAACTATCATCAAATACATTTTCAAAACCTTCCCCTCTCCCACTAGACAGGAACTCTATACCATTAAACAACTTTTTGTTCTCCCCTCCTGCTAGCGCCCTGGTATAGTCTGCTTTGTGTTCATTCTGTCTCTATGAATGGACACACTCTGAGTACCTCCTATAAATGGAATCACACAACACAAGCAATTGCTTAATTTCATTATTTGCTCATTTTAAAAACTTTGACTCATTAGCATTGTTCTAGGATTACATAAGCCAAATCGATGTGGCACCAGAGGACTTATACTTTAAATGACTTGTGTACAGAAATAGCCTCTATTTCTCTTCTTTCTCCACCCTGTATTTCATGGACTTAGCTCTTGTTACATCATGACCATTCAAAAATGTTTGTCCATTCAGATTTTATTAGATCAAAAACATATTTTAAAAAAATGACACCAGAAAGCCCACATTATGCTTTAATATATAAGTGATGTCCATGCCAGTGTTTCTCTAGTCATTTAGTGCTCAAGCTTTTCATAAAGCTTGGAACATTGTTTTGCCCTCACGTGCTTTAGTGGGGAACTTTGTTCCATTACCTGAAATTTGAACAGGAAGACTAGATTGTTTGATATCTGCTCTTTTTTTCTCCCAGACACTAGCAAGAAATCCCTAAGAGCCTAAGCAGGTGTCTTTCATATCTCTTATCTTGATGGTTTACTGCCCCACTTGATCCTGATTGGCAATAAGTCTAACGTTTTTGTATTATAGCCTTGTATGTTCCGTTTATTACCAGGCTTGGGATGTAAAGTTACTCATCCTGATAGGAGGAAGTTGCCATGTCCAGGAGACAGGATTAGTGCTCTGTATGCTTCTTTGAGACATTGCTTTACCAACTGACTGTCAGCCTGATGACTTGGCACACATTCAAAGGGCCCACTTTTCATATCACGCCAATGGAGAAACTTAATATTTTTAAAACATTCACTCAATGTTCAAGGCTATTCCCCACTTTCTGTTCTATCAGGTTCAGTGTGTCTGGTTTTATGTTGAGAGCTTTGATCCACTTGGACTTGAGTTTTGTTCAGATACAGATCTATTTGCATTATTCTACTTACTGACGTCCAGTTAGATTCGCACCATTTGTTGAAAATGCTTTCTTTATTCCTTCGTGTATTTCTAGCTTCTTTATTAAAAAAAAATCAAGTGTCCATAGGTATGTGGATTTATGTTTGGGTCTTTGATCTGATTCCACTGAACAGCCTGTCTGTTTTTATGCAAATATTATGTGGTTTTTATTAATATATCTCTGTAGTATAGCTTGATATAGGTGATATCTCTGGATGTTATTTTATTGTACAGGGTTGTTTTAGTTATCCTGGGTTTTTTGTTTGTTTGTTTTTCCATATGAAGTTGAGTATTGTCCTTTCAAAGTCTGTAAAAAAATGTGTCAGAACATGTGATCAAAGCATTGTATATATTATAGACTCATACCACTGAAGAAACAGATTTTTCTATTCATTAAAATCCATCTACTCACTAATGAGCATGTAGTTGATTCCACAGGTCTCCAGGAAGATTTTATAACTGTTTCATTTTTATTGTATTTCTACTGTCTGTACTTGTAAAAAACCCAGATTCTCATTTTAAAAACAAAACAAAACAAAAATGCTCACTTGAAATATAAAGCAATTAGTAATAGTTTATTTCAATTTTCAGGAAAAATGGGGATGTATAGGGAGGGAGATTTGTTTTTACCTTGGTGTTGAGCACTCATTGTGCTGTGGGTGTTAGGAGCGTTGGGTGTAAATTAAAAGAAAAAATAGAAAAGCTGAGGTAATGGTGGACTCAAATGATACATGCAATGCTTTCACACGCCTCTTGTCTCTAGAGAGCATTTTCCCTGAATTAGTGCATCTCAAATGACTGTTGTTCTTTGAGACCGTCTCGTCTCTGTTGATTAGGTATGAAAGAGTAAAATCTGAGAAGAAAAACAAGCCCTTCTTGCCTGTTAGGCTGGATTGCTTTTTAAGTGTATCTTATCTTGTAAAATAATCTGTTGGAGACAGTATTACAGGTGTATGGTACGATACTTCCACCTGGCCTGGGTGTGAAGAGTTCAAAAATATGAAGACAGCTGCAGGATTAGTGTTTGTTTAAATCGTCACCATCTGACCAAAGATCAGGGCAGGATTCTTGGATTTCCACCCCCCAAGGTTTAGATTTGCATGTTTTCTCTGTGAAGCATTTGAATTCATAAAGTGATGGCTGTCTCTAATCAGGTGGAATCTACTTTAGCCCATATGGGAACTACTGACCTTAGGCTTTTGCCTTCCAAATCTTAAGTATAAATGTTCATGGACAAAAGTGCACATGCCATGAGAGTATAACCTGATGGGTCTCTGCACACCAAACATACCTGTCTGAAGAGCATCTTGGCCACATCCTGTTTAAGTCTCTGGTGTCTGCTTGTGCTTGTTTGTGTAACTACATAGGCTACTAGGTGTTTCTCAGCACCCAATTTTTGTTGTTGATCGTCATGTTTTTGAAACTCACTGTTTTCTCCATTTTACCCTTCTTTCTTAATTGTTGCTTCTTATTTTACCCCCTCAGATAAACTAAGTCTGCCATCATCTTCATTCAGTGGGGATATGCAGGACATATACATATACAGTCTCTAAGTCAGGTCCTCATGGTGGCCTGGACACCTGAGGCTGTGGTCCTTGCTCTTTCTCTTCCACACACTTGTCTGAGAATATATCCAAGAGGAGAGGGGGCGGAAAGATGAGGCCAGCTCTCCCCTGCTTTGTAACATACTTCTCTCTAACACTGTTCTCATCACCTAGGGTGGGAGGAACTTTGCAGATCAAGCTGTACCAACTCATTAAACCCAGGACAACATTATCCCTAGCAAGAGTCATTTACTTCTCTAGAGAAATAATGGTGGGATTGTGCAACAGGTTACCAGCCCTCATAGCAAGGACATTTATTTCTTTATGTGTGTGTGTGTGTATGTCTGTATGCATGCTTATGTGCATGTACACTTCATGTGCACATGCATCTACACACACACACACACACACACACACACGGAGTTCAGAGGACAGCCTGATAATACATTTTTTGTTTTTTGAGACAGTCTTTCATTGGCCTAGAACTCACTCAGTAGACTAGACTAGCCAGACAGCAAGCCCGGGAGATGCTTCTGCTTCCATCCAGTGCGAGGATTACACGTGCATGTCACTGTACCCAGATGTTTTTTAATGTGCACTCTAGGGATTGAACTCATGTCCCTGTGTGGTATTGTGTTCCCCAAAATATTGTGCACCC